TGAGGTTCACATGGAAGCTTGTCAGTCATCGTAAAGGTGATTATTAGGATGCGGGCCTGAAGTTCACGTGGAAGCTTGTCAGACGACGTAATGGTGATTATTAGGATGCAGGCCTGAGGTTCACATGGAAGCTTGTCAGTCATCGTAAAGGGGATTTTTAGGATGTGGGCCTGAGGTTTGCGTGGAAGCTTTTCTGTCGCTGTAATGGTGATTATTATTCAGGATCTTAAATGTCACCTAGGAACTGAGGCACAAGGCTTGTGAGGCCTATGGAAAACAGAGGAATGTAACAGCAAAGTGAAGTATTTCTGATCTCTACTCATTAACCAGGAATCATCTGTTAAAGTCTTAAAGAGCAGACCTTCACAAGTTTGGACATTTCACTGCTCATTTATTTTTAGAGAAGCGGACGAACCGACAGAGAAAAACTGTTTGGACATTTCACTGCTCATTTATTTTTAGAGAAGCGGACGAACCGACAGAGAAACACTGACAAATTAACCTACATAACAAATGACACACTTGGCAGCGGTGATGGAAGCTGACGTGACAGAGATGTAAATGAGATTATTGAGGGCCCTGCTGTAAGGAGCAAACATGAAAACACAGATAAGCGATGCAGTTACGTACTTCTTAAAGGTGTGAAATACTCATAACATACTGTTCCTGGAATTGTGAGAGAAATCTGGGAATGTCCCCCACACCTTTTAAAAATCCATTTATTGCTAATTGTCTGTTTGCTATTCTGCCAGCTCCTCCTGGTAAGGGTCTATAAACAAAGCCTATTTTGGAGGATACATTTTTAGAAGGGGTCACAGGACTGAAAGAGCAGCTTGAAAGCCCTTATAAATATGCATCCATATTGTATTCACTCTCACCATGTTGCCTCAATTTGTTTGTGTCTCCTGGTGACAACCTTCATTAGTTAGACCGTGGTCAGTCCCACATGTCTGGAAAAGCCAAAAAGGCAGTAACACAGGCTGGGTGAGAGCAAAGGATTATGGGTTCAAGCCTGAGTGGGACATGGATGGACCTAGAAATCTACTGTGCCAAGGTGAGCAACCTCTGATTTGAAAGTTCACTCTGCACTTAGAAACGAGAAACAGATGGACAAAATAAATGCCCCCGATCTCACAGAAACTGGAATAGAGGACATTCTGTGCAGCAGACGCCAGAATCAGGTGGAAATTGGATGAAAAACACTGAAGCAAAACTGAAGCAGAGGGAGCATGCCGAGTTTTATTGGGACTTAAAGACAAACAATGTTATTCTCTTGCGTGTGTAAAATGTTGCAATCCTGGCTATAACTGCTACCCTTCCCGTATTTTACAGCATTGTCCCGTATTGAAAAATGAAATCAACTGAACCAATGCTAGACGCAATTTATCCTGAATTTCATGTTTTCCTACCATGGAAACCCTAATCATGGCACACAGTGTTCATAGAACTAAAGCACTCTTCATTCTACATTGATGAAATGTGCAGCTGTGTGTGGTTCCCTGTGACAGTGAACGAATACAATCAAGTATTTCATAAAAATTAGAAAAAGGTTTTGAATGAGGGGGAGCTACACCACACAGACCAGTCACATGGCAGAAATTGATAAGTTTGTTTTGCTTTTATCATTGTTTTTAGACCAAATTCAGATTATAGGTTCTGGATACTAAATGGTGACTAAACGCAAAGCAGGCCTCATTCACGTACAATTTATATTAGGTCAGCGTTCACGGTTCGACTTCTGATATTCAGATCGAGTTCTTGGTCAAACTGGTTTGTTCGACTTTCAAGAAATTCGAGTTCTAGTGAGTTTGAGAACCGAGGTACCATTGTATTTATTCAGCATATAATTCTGTCCAAAGAGAGGAACAAGCGAGGCAGGTAGTAGATTACAAGCATACTGCGGTCAAGGAGACAACTGGGCACGAATACAGTAAGGCTGAGCTTCCACTGAATAACTAGTTACAAGTGGAAGTTAGCACTGGAGCAAGAGCTATAAATACTGTATGTTACAAACATAGCAAGAATAAATAAGGGAGCTATTCAAATCAAAGGCAAAAGGAACATTCCGGATACGCAAGAGGGTAGATATGGCATAAGAGATAACGATAGACCAGGTCAGTGGTTGTATGGCTAGATGAAGTGTTTCTGAGCAGCTTCTTGAAGGTTGAGAAGAGATTCTGATGTTGGAATTTGGACAAAAACACAGTAGGTCTACAGTACAATGTTAAGACCTCCTAAAAAGAGCCAGCAGGTTGTAGGGTTGAGTTGCTTATTGAGCTTGGGTTTGGTATAAATTAGTCGGTGGGAATCAGATGTTAAACTGGCAAATCATGTGCGTCTTCCAGGAAAACGGATTACAAAATATTTGCCTCTCTCAGAACTCCATTAATTACAGATGACTGTGAGAGTAAACAGAAAAACAAAGCTGTTACTGACAGGACCTGTGCCAAAACTAACAAACGGAAAATGGAATTCCTGCAAAGTGTAATTGTTCTGTACTGGTCACTGCACCTTATTGTAGGAGTTAAGGAGTAATATCAATAATTTACATTGCTAAACAAAGCAAAGCTTTCGTAAGCCTGGAAATATTGATTCTGATAAAAATCTTTTAAGGGCCGGATTGGTACTGAGCTTCAGCTGGGGAGCATTACAGGGGCATCGGGATGCAGGGGGATCAACCACACAGTCCGGATTAAATTTTATTTTGGTCCGGCAATCCCAACTGTTGTCATCAGCCCACACCTCGTCGTGCCCACTGGGAATTCTCCTGACCCCTAATCAGCCACTCTGTTATATATTCACGTTGTACAAGCCAGTGTATGAAATGTCTCATCTCTCCATTTCTCTCCCAAAAATACACACGCAATAACAAACAGGGTTCCCATTTACATTCCACTGCACCCTCCTGTATTTAAAGAAACCTTTGCTGTGCAGATTCCTGTTGGAAGATTCAAGATTTACAGAAACTATTCAGGTGTAATTAATAATCAACATTATCTTTAAAAGGAGATTTGATCCTGATCTTTGTCGGTCTCTGTGGAGACTTTAGGCCTCAATTTACCCAGTTCCTGCATTCACTGGATGCTGCTCTGTCTCCACAGCACAGTCACTGTGGGTGAAGCACAGGCTAGTTTGTGTTTCCTGTGTAAGGAACAGTACATACAGGAATTATCTCAGAGGCAGGCAGAGGGACATTAGATTTCACTGTCATTTTATTCACCTTTTTTTCCCTCGACTTGTACATTCAAATATGTTCACACACGACAGCACCTGCTTTTCTGGGATCTTGGTGAGGTGTTGTCTGAGTCTCCTGTTCCACTGATCCACCCAACCTTCACCTTAATTACCGAAAAAATACAATATACATTATTGACACTGATAAAGACAAGTGTATTGTGATTGACACCATATACACACATACAGAGATGAAAGAGAGAGAGAGACAACAAGGAAACAGAAGGAGGAAAAAACCCGTCCATACTGGAGCAAGGCAGCGCTCCCTCTCTCTCTCTCTCTCCCTATATAAAGAAGCTGGCTGTTGTGCGTCTCACATACATACTATGAATAGGAATGGAGTTTGGGATCCTGTTGCTTTTGACCTTCTTGCTGAGCAGCCTAGCCTTTCCTTCAGGTGGGTACCAGGCTCTATTGCTGCATGACACACGGTCTGCAATCAGCTTAGCGCATCACAGACTAAAGCACTGCACCTCTGTGGAAGTCAATGAGTAAAGTGCTTAACACTGATACTTCCAGGAAAAATCTGTGCAAAGGGGGTGTGACCATACATGGTTCCTGTGGAAATAAATATTCACTTTTATTATAATTTATTATAATCCTTTCAACAAATGCTTATTACTGGGCATTACAGTAATACTGTATACTAAGTAACCTAAGTATACTAAGTAAAATTTATAACACAAAAGTTTATAAAATTAACCAAAAAGTTGACTATAGTGTAAGAACTTACTATATGGTAAATAAATTCCAAAATAAACAAATGCAGTCATAAGGATTTACAGCACAGCAGAGTGACCCAATGCAGTCACTGTGGAGATTTCAGCAGCCTAATATAAACACACAGATTCATAGAGCGTAACAGCCTGGATTAGGACCAGAGAGGATTCCGGTTCGTGTCCGAGGACAGACTGTGCTTTTGTGTCCCAAATAAACGTAACTGGATGGATTTTTTAACTAATAGTTAACCGTATGAATGAGTGATACTGGAATCCATGTTAATGATTGTTAAATAAGGTCATTTTAGTAGGCTCTCACTCCGCAGAGGGACACCATCCCTTCCTGGGAGGGAAGGGCGATTATGAGGTGATCCGGCCAGTCAGACTGCATATCCTGCACAAGACAAACACCCAGGTAAAGTGTTCCTCAGCTGGCTCAAGACTCAGTCTAAGGCACACCCATGGGCCCCTGAGAAAGGCCCTTAACCCCCAGCCCCCCCGGGTGCTGCAAGGTGGCTGCCCATTTGCTGTGACCCCCCCTTTTCATCTGTATGGTGATAAAGATGGGGCAAAGCAAAAAGAGAATTTCCACACAGGGATTAACAAAGTATTATCATTCTGCTAGACTACAGATACATACAGTAATAGCAAGATACTGAAATAAGCTCCCACAATGAACATGTGTTTTTTTCATCACTTTGAGAGATGAATGTGATTACAGTGATAAGTGTTGAGTCAGTGTGCACCATGCGTGTAGTGAGATCACCATCATTCAATGCCTCACGGTTTATTCTGTAAGTATTACTATACTTTTAAATGAAAAGAACTGAAACATCTAAAAACAAACAGCTTTACATGTTTATAAAGATAACTGAAGAGATGTCAGGTTATGCCAAACTCCAGGACAGGACATGGACCCCAGTGTTGCTCCTGCTGACTGCTTGCTCCTCTTCCTCAGTCAGTATGGCCCGACGTGGTTGGGTATAGGCTAACCATGGCTGGGAGACACATGGAACTTCACCTGGAGAGAAACCAGTAAGTCTGACCCTTGTTCCCAGCATGCCGTGTTGGGTTGCTGCTAACCTGGACATGTCCCAGCATGATGCTGCTGTTGTACCCTTAGTGGCGTGGTTGTTTTGAGCAGCTTGAAGATCTGGATTAACACTAAACAATGATGTTCTCCCAGGGGCCTGTTTGCACCAGACTACAGTGAAACACACTACACCAAGAATGGAAGTAGGGTCACGTCTTCCCCGGGGGACCTGGTCAGTTACCATGGTAACAGTATACTAGCAGCACGCTCACACGATTTCTTCTCCATTCACTGATTGCCGATCTGCTCTGACTCAGGATCTCTGCTGCTACTCTGGGACGGCTGGCGGCGGTAATGAGACCTCAGCGAGCATCAGCATCTGCCATGGCCTGAGGTCAGAAGACAGAAACACACACAAAAGCTGCTGAAACAGAGCAGACACCTAATGCAACGACCTGGTCACAGCGCCTCGGCGATGCCCTGCAGGCCAGCAGGCCTCACCTGACCTCTTACTGTTGATCTCAGGGGCTACATTAAGACTGCAGCAGAGATTTACCTGATAGAGCCACTGTCAGACAGCGACACTGGGGACCACGCCCTGTTCAAGTACGAGCACCTGGTTACAGAGCCCAGGGTGTGTGGAGTGCACAACCACACGCTGGAGTCTGCAATTCCATTCATTCGCACCAGGGGGAGCTCAGGAGCCTCAGTAAGTCAAAACAATGCTCTGTTCAAACAGCAAAGTTATTAAAAAGCAGGGGAAAGCATGTCGCCAGAGATATGTTAACCTTGGGTTCAGACTGATTAGCCCGACTGGGAGTAGTTCTGGGCCTGGTGTGTTAATCACAGGTTAATAACTGATAAAATGAAAGATGACGTTTGTGAGCGCTACACCCCAGTGAAAGTGCTCACGTGTGTAACGGCTCACGTGTGTGTCGTAGCAGTTCTGGCTGATTGCCATTTGGTGGACCTGCACTTCAAATGGAGGCCCTTAAGATAGCAGGTCCACACAAGTACATCAAAGCAGGAAACTCAAGCAAGAATTTTTTTTGGCTACTTATTTAACAAGCTATTGCTTTTTAAATCCGCATTCAGCTGTAATGAGACATCAGCCGCCGCACTAATTATGCAGCTGCTTTGAGTTCCCCGGTTCACTTTCACCTTCCAGGAAGACAGGCTCAGCGTAACCCTTTCCCTTGTGCCACAGGCCCTGTCCACCTCACTGCAGGAGAAGTACATTGAGCTGTACTTGGTTGTGGACCACAGAGAGGTGAGCAATGACAACGATCAAGGACACAGCAAACCTTCAGAAGCTCCAAAATCACAGTAACACTCATTACAGCAGAGAACGACACCATTAATAAATCAGTATCCGGATCTTTAATTATGATGTTGAAATATTTATATGTTAAAGTGCTGTTTGTTCGCTGACCCCCATTAACTCCATCCCGTGTTCTTCTGGGCACCTTGATCTCATTCAGCTCAGCCGCTTGTCTTTCTTACAGTACCGCAAAATGAACAGTGACCTGGCAGAAGTGAGAAGGCGCATTTTTGACATTGTCATCTTTGTGAACATGGTGAGTCTTACAGAGTCATGCCCCTGCAGTGTCTTCTAAGAGCCCCATGCATTCATTTTATTTCTTTATCCGGAGAGGGCACAGAGAATATCTGCTGTTCATTAGGAGATACCAGCCAACAGTCGATCAGAGCCTTCCTGTTCTGCAAACCATCCAAAAGACTGAATTACTTTTACGACTGAAGAACAAATTTCCCAAACTCACCCAATCCATGGGATGTGATGTGGAAATGTATAGGAAGTTTTTTTGTTATGAAATTTTTATTGAAAGACAATGGAAGAAGAATATGAACAAGCATTAACATAAAATATAACAAACATCACCCCCCTAATACCACTCCTCTCCCCCACCCCCAAAGACAACACCCTAAAAAACAAAAATTACTCAATGGAAGAATTCACCAGCACACCCTGCTTTGGAGAGATCACAGCTGAAGACAGGAAAAAATAATGATAATAGCAGAAATGAATTAAGAAAAGTTCTTTGTTGGATGCCTGACTTTAGGTCATCTGTGATCTCATCTGAAAAACAACAAGAAATGGACAAAGTTTTGGAAATTTTCAGTGTTCTGTGCAGTTCTTTGGAAAGATCTAATGCAAAGTCCACTTCTTTATCCGAAATGGCACCTTGCTGCAGTTATGTGGTACGGATGATAGATATGCTGTTACTGTCCCTGTATAAGAATAGACACCATTCCACGTCCCCAGGTCTACAAGCCCCTTCACACACATATCATTCTCGTGGGCGTCGAGGTCTGGACGGACCAGGACAAGATCCAGTTGTCGACCAGTGCTGGGGAGACCCTGGACAGCTTCACAAAGTGGAGAAACGATGTCCTGATGAACGCCAGGACTCACGACAACGCACAACTGATAACGTAGGTTCAGTAATGAGTTGAGGTCATCTCACAGATCTTCCTGGAACGATGACAGGATTATGCATAAAACTTGCACAGAAAATAGTTCCAAAATAGTCTCTCCGTAGCACATAGTACAGTGTTTACTAATATTCTACTAATGTTTCCAGGTTAATGAGTGAACGCTGTACCTTCTTTACTTAAGAACTAGATCCAAAGCCTTTTTATCTACTCTGTCACTTATTCACTCAGTTGTCCCTTTTATTCAAAGCTAACAAATTGTAATATATAGTAATACTTTTTATAATCTGAAGCAACTGTTTTATGTTTATACATTGTGTACTTCAGAGTTCAGCTTAAAGTATGTCACAAGGGCACCAACAGTACAAACCTACACCCTTCCCTGGGTAGCTATCTCCTGCCTTCTCTTTCAGAGCCATGGATTTTGAGGGTGGCACGGTGGGTTTGGCTTATGTTGGCACCATTTGCCAACCCCAGTCTACAGGGTTGGTGCAGGTACTGTGGGTCCTACTGCCAAGATTAAGTTCTAACACCAACATACTTCTAAATTTGCCATGATGTCTCCTGTCTCACTTGTCTGATGTAATATTATGACTGTCATCTAGAGAAAATATTTAATGTCCCTCCAGGACAGCAGGCCCTACGCCATTAGTACCGGGGTCACACTGGCCCATGAGATGGGACACAACCTGGGCATGAGTCATGACACTGAAGACTGCACCTGTCCGGAGGACACCTGCATCATGTCTGCTGTGCTCAGGTAGGAGTTCATTGTTTGGGAGAGGAGGGGTAATGGTGATATTAATAATGAGGAATACAAGGATCAACTCTCTTTTGTGTTTCATGCTGTATTTGAACATATCATATTTGCTAAATGAAATGCATTCAATTCATCTTCCAAATGTTTATCCAGTTTATGGCCATGGTATAAATGATATACGATTTTAATCACATTACATGTATTAATCCATGATTAACACACACACCCCTGTTTACTCATGTAGCAGCGTGCTTTCAAATTACAATCTGTCTGCGACTCCTGCCAGGACAATTTGGAACTGAATAAGACAGGCACGTGTTGAATGCAGACATGCAGTGACCATATACAATGACAAACCAAACATGGCCAATGGTAGCAGAAAAAAAAACAAAAGGTGCAAAGGTTTGACTTTATCTGTTTGTTTAGCATCTGGATTTAACCAGAATGGCTTGATGTTTCAGAGTAGATACATTTACACAGCTGTGTATTTGCTACTATGTGACTCCAGCTAACTGTACAATTCAAAGACACGTGACTGATATCTGGCACCTAAATCTTACAAAATCACGGCATAGAGCAATGAGTGCTGGTGAGTGCTTCTGGGGCTGGTTGGATCTGCACTGGGTTGACACAGATACATGTGGTGCGATTTCAGTTACAACCCCCCGAGGTTCTTCAGTAGTTGCAGCCAGAAGAGGTATGAGCTTTTCCAGGAATCTTGGAATCTCAGCTGCATTCTGAATAAGCCGGTGGCGGTGGTCCAGGTGTGTGGGAATGGACTCCTGGAGGTGGGAGAGGAGTGCGACTGTAGCACTGAGGAGGTAGGACTCCTTCTGAACAAACTGCCTTCATCCTCAAAACAGGGGCTTCTTCTGGTCACCATCGGAACTGATATTCATGCTTTAAGTAGATGTAGCCTTCTGTACGAAGATCTTGTTTTTACACATACAAGGGTTTTGAGATGTGTTTCTACATCAGATCTTAACTTAATGGTCTCACCCATTCCAAAGTGCACAAACGCAGTGAAGACAAACAATAAAATGTGAGTGATGTGCAAACAGTCCAATGGAAACTAACTGTCCAATGGAAATGCAAGTGACCATGGCACTAGACATTTGCATGGAGGAACTGATTAATCACGTACATGATGTATGACCATCTTGTTTCTGGTGGGTGGGGCCAACAGGAATGCACAGACCCATGCTGCAACGCTGCCACCTGCAGGCTGGTGGAAGGGGTGCAGTGTGTGTCCGGGGACTGCTGCGAGAACTGCAAGGTGCACCTTATGGAAATGATTGGCATGCACGTACATACATGCTTGGATACAATCTCACCCTAAACAAACTGACCATCACACTTACATCTTTCATACCCATTAGCTGTGAATTACACACACAAAACAAAGGATGAATCTCAATACCAAGAACGCAAAGACTGTACAGTACTGCTAACTTGCCTCCCAAGAACATGGGCTGCAATGAATTATGGGATTGGACTCATTCGGTGAGGATGCAACCGGGGTGGGGCAAGACCAACAACTGGGGATTTTTACCGTCCTCTGGACTTCTGTTCTTGAGTATTGGAACTGGTCTTCGGCAATGGAAAATGACGTAAAATGGGTACATGAGAACACAAGGATGAATATCGAGAAACACTCAAAAACACGCAGGCAGCTCCTTATTCTGGGTTTAGCACTCATATTTTGGCAAAACTTCCATTTTCAGTAGCAGTTTCTTTCTGCATAACAGTTAAAAGCAGCCTCATGTCTGTAGTAATACCAAATACTTCCCTGAGAACGTGTCTCGCTGTTCTGGTGCGTTAGTGACCTCTAGTGGTCCCCACATGAGCACTATGAAATACAGCTGTTCATTTTAAAATCCAATCCTGCTTTTCATTATTTATAAGGCAGCAGCTGCATTCATCCAAAGCGACCATGTTATCCATTTATACCGCTGAGTATTTACCAGAGCAATTCAGGTTAAGTGACTGGAATGCACCAGCAGACCTCTCCTGGGATGTAAACCTGTAATTGTTTGGATGTAACACTAATTTGCTAACCACTGCACCACCTGCTGCTTAATCAGATCCCAATGCAGCTGGTCTCCGGTCCTCACCCAATCACATCTCAGAATGGGATTTTCCGGTTATTTGGCCACAGTTCCCCACTGCTGCCCTGTCCTGGGTTATTCCCTGCCTTGCGCCCGTAGCTTCCGGAAGAGGCCCCGGACCCCTGTGAGCCTGCACAGGACGGGTACTGTATGGAAAATGGATAGATGGTATTCCCCACTGCTGATCTTTAGCCTAGGATCTGGGAATGACTCAGTATTGAGCTGGCTTTATTGTGGGATGCTGATAGGAGTTTTAACATTCTTACAGAATTGCATTAAATTGGACCTGGGGCATTTGAGGCTAAAGCCCTAAATGAATTCAAATGAGCCCCAAATGAGTTGTTTAGCTCAGATGTTTTAAAGGGGGCCTATTATGCTTTTCCAGTTTTAACCTTTCCTTTAGTGTCTCATATATCTTTATGTGCATGTAAACAGTCAAAGACCCAATGTACACGCCAAAGGGACTAACTCTCACCGCAGGAAACACTGTTCTTTAACCTGTCTGAAATGCCACATTGGAATTCCGGCCCTTACTTCCGTGACATGGTGAGGTCACCTCATAACACAATCTGTATTGGCTGCCTAATTGCAAGGATCTGTCTACAGACTGCAAGACATAGGAGGAACGTGTAGGCGAGCCGACCAATCAGAGCACACTGGGCTAATTGGGGGTGGGGCTTAAAGCTCTAACAGAGCGTTTCAGACTGCCAGAGTTATAGATAGCGTGTCTGTACTGCTGTTAGTTTGACATTAATTATTTTCATGGTTCCTCTTTCTTGGAAAATCCCGGTAACGAGCTCTCCTGCCTGTCAGATTGCGGCAGCCACACGGGAGTGCCGTCCGCGGCGGGACGACTGTGACCTCCCTGAGTTCTGCACAGGCAGAGATGCCAGCTGCCCTGAGGACGTCTTCGCTGCAAATGGCCTCCCCTGTGGTGATGGACAGGGCTACTGTTATGATGGACGGTGCCCTATGCGCTCGCAGCAGTGCATCCGCATGTGGGGGGAAAGTGAGTGACAGTGTCAATATTTACCCCCAGACATGCATGCTGCGGGAGCTCAATCGGCCCTGAAAGGTAGCAATTTCAACTGTACGTGTCGGTGCTTTACAATTTGGTCCTCAGGGCCCCACAGTCGGTCCATGTTTTTGCTCCTTCCAAGCTCCTTACCAGAAAGTCCACATTTTTGCTCCCTTCAAGGTCTGTGGCAGATTGGTGGCACTGAGGCTAGGGATCTGTGCCAGCAATTGGAAGGTTGCTGGTTCAAATCCCATAAATACCTGGAGTGATTCTACTCTGTTGGGCCCTTGAGCAAGGCCCTTAACTTGCAATTACTTCATCCTCAGTATGACATTACTCTGCATCCAGCCCTATAAGGAGGTCCTCCAACTTACAGGGAAAAACTTAGGGGTGGCAGGATTGGCACTCCAGCCACCAGAAAAAATTCACACTGGTCCATTTGGACTGGTGTGGTGCTGAGGTATCACCCGCCACATGGCTGCACTCAGGTTCTCATCCCTGAGGTGGTTTGTCATGTGGTGGGTGTGGTAATGCACTGTAATCGGCACATGCACCTTACCTCAAGGTCTGTGGGTCCCCAAGAAGCAGATTGGGAAACACTGGTATGTGATGTCAGTATCTCTAAATCAGAGCTGTATGCTTAATTGTAGCAGATGCAGGTCCACAGATGCATAAAAGCCCTCAGAAACATCATGTGACCAGGACAAGTCCACCTGCTCATGTAACCAGGTGCCTGTTGGATGTTCATTTCCAGCGGCAAAAGTGGCTGCTGACTCCTGCTATGAACTGAACACCCACGGTATCTTCTCTGGGTTCGGCTGGCGTGTTGGTCCAGATGGCTACTTCAAATGCAATGAATCGTATGTCAGACCTCAAACCAGGAATTCCACCCTCCGGTCTGTTCTCACCTACAGCCTTCGCCTCAAAGCATCACCCCCTAACCCCAATTCCCCCCTGCAGGGACATGCTATGCGGTAAACTGTTCTGTGCCAACGGCAGTGACACCCCCAGCTACGGCCAGCCAATGCAGGTGGGTCAGTGCAAAGCCACCTTCTATGGCGACCCCTCCCAGGACCGTGGCCAGGTGGAAGTTGGGTCCAAGTGTGGTGAAGGGCAGGTAAGACCAGGTGATAAATGGCAAGGGGGGGGGGTGTTCAAAAATCAGTCTTTAAATTACTCCAGGGGTTCACTTTACACGATCCAGACATTTACACAGTCAACTGTTAGATCCTCCGGTCTACAGTTTCTGTGTAATTTCTGACCTGTAAATTCACTTACTGATTTAAATTATTCATAATTAATAATGTTTGTGAATGTATATGGGGGGGTCATGCGTGGCTCAGCATGATTGGACTATTGTGCCCGTGATGCACTATTTCGAATCCCAGGACCAGCAGACTGATGCTGCTGTTGGGCCCCTGAGCAAAGCCCAAAGCCCCCAGCCCCAGGAGTGCTGCACACTAGCTGACCCTGGGCTGTGACCCCCAAGCTTGCTCTCACCTGTATGTGTATCTGTGTGTCTCAGGGAGGGCAAGATGGAGCAGGAAAAAGGAGAATTTCCCCATGAGGCTCAATAAAATATTTAATGTTAAATGTTACTTAATTGGGAGATACATCATACTATGTTTACAGTGTCTCTGGTCCAACCCTCAGGTCTGCTGGAGTAATCAGTGTGTAGATCTGGAGGTGGCGTACATGAACACCCACTGCTCTGAGAACTGCCCAGGCCATGCAGTGAGTTGGGGGGGAAGGGGGCTCAGATCTCACTGTTATATGTAAGAGTTACTCCATTACCCAATGTTTCAAACTCCTTAAAAAAAACATCACACCATAAGAAGGGCTTGAGGGCTATTTCCATCCATGCCCGCATCCATCAGACCTATTCTCCTATTGGGGAGCTAATAGAAAGTGTGACATTAAATACAGCTTTAACGCCGTTTCATGAAGGCGCTGACTGTCCTAATCACATGACACACCAGTGTGGCATCCCGTAACTGAGTTTCCACATCTCCATGTCCCGCAGGTGTGCAACCACAAGTCAGAGTGTCAGTGTGAGCCGGGTTGGCTCCCCCCCACCTGCAGCAGCCAGGACGCCCAGATGGGGGCGCAAGACCAGTCACAGGGTCAGTACCAAATACATCCTCCGAGTCATCAGAAGAGATGCTTCCGTTATTTCCAGCGAGATTGCTTGACGCCACGTGGTATGTGAATTGTCACTGAGAGCACAAAGCTGCCACACCGCACCTAAATACCGCCACACCCACAGTTGTGTACTGCGTTTAATTTGTAAATAGTGTTATAGTGTCATTCAGTGTAAGGTATCAATGTCCCACATCAGCTTAATCCATTAGACAACAGAACAAAATATCTACTGCAGAACAAAATTAATGTGAACTTCGCAAAAAGTATATAGTTGTATGTATAATTTTTAGGTGATGAAGGTGTAGCTTCAATAAAATTGATACTATACTATAGGTCAGGGATCCCAGTCTGCACCACAGACACGCCTTATTCAGCTCACTTGCAGGGAAATCTGCAAACTGTGGTGCGGACTGGCCCTCCAGGACTGGAATGGGGGAATCCTGCTATAGAATCCATCCTGCATGGTGCTTTAGCAGCTTGCTAGCTGCTTGAGTGAAGGATCAGATTATTGAATACAAGCCAGTGTGTGGATTAACATCACAGTTTAACATGAACGTGTTCATTCCTTGACCATCTTAACGCCACATGCCCTCAATGGTGCATCTCATCTGTCTTGAACTTCTTACCTACCTAGTTTGGCATTAAAAAAACAAAAAAGTTAGCTCTGCTGCGGTTGCAGAGAACACTCACTAACAGTGCACTCTCGCTCTCACTCTCTAGGGTCCATTTCTTTGATCGTAATTGTCATAGTAGCTGGGGGCAGTCTGATGATCCTGCTCGTCCTGGGTGGGGTGGCCCTTGTCCTCATACGCAGGCGAAATCGCTTGGATGCTAACAGGTACTTAGCTCATATGAGTTCCACTACCACCTTCCCCCTCAATGGCACATAGAGTGAAGGATGCTGGTCTTACTCAGTTGTTCCTACAGCATCTGCTCCAGCAGGAAAGGCCAGAATTACCCAACAGCTTCCCTACACAGCCTGCAGATCTGCACAATCAGCCACAATGGCATGCAGGTGAGACTCAACGTTTCCACAAGGGCTCACCACATAGTTTATGCACAGACTGAATGTGTGAACACAGCACCTGGAAGACGATCTGTCACTGTAGCCTGTTCCTGTGTTTAATAAATCACTTTAAAATGTGGGATTATAAAGTTTGTAAGTCACCTTGGACAAAAGTCAGTGAACAAAGTAAAAATAGACATAAGAAATATCTGTAAATATCTGCTCTTATTCTCCACGCGTCATCAAGGCTGCTCGTGGAGTAAAAATGGCCACAGGCCAACAACACTGAGATGGAATCAGCTGAGGCGTGTGCTGGCTTTAGAAAAGTAGGAAATGGGACACGTCAAGCAGCTAACCTTAAGAAAAATAATATACAACAGGAAGGATTACATTCATCATTGTGTATTAGTATTCATATGTACCTCAAAGCATTGCTGGGGAATCACACACATTGAGTTTCATTGTAACTTGTTACAATGACAGTAAAGGCATTCTAATCTAATCTAATGTATTAAATATGTACTATAATATGGAATAATTTTCCATAAGGTCAATATGATTTGTGTAACTAAACAGTGTAAAAGGGGGACTATTTCCGTTACTGAATAGGTTAAATCAAAGTATCCAGCTGTTTAAAGTCTAAAACTATAGACTCTGGTTAAAAGCAGTAGCTAAATAAAACCGTAAATAATTCAAACTGTGACCTCGGCCTGTAGAGATGAGAGAGAGAGAGATCAGTGCCTTCACAGCACCAGGCAAACAGACTCCCCCCCACCTTTGTGGTCTTTCCCCACACAGGATCCCTGCCCCCCCCTGGTGTGAGGAGACTCCTGGGTGTGGGATGAAGGCAGAGGTCAAATTTCAGAAGGAACGCACAGCGAGGAAGCTCCACTGCCCAACAAAATATCAGCACCTGCCAGCAGAGAGCAGGATGAACGTGGAGGCTGGAGGCGGAGCCAGAACACATGACCAGGCTGGTGCTATAAGAGTAGAGCAGGGGCTTCAAACGCCGGTCCTGGAAGGCTGGAGCCCTGTGTAGCTTAGTTCTTTCCCTGTTCCATCACAAAAAATTCAGCTCAAGAGCTGTGAGGTAATTAGCACAAGGAATTGAACCAGGCGTGTTAAATGAGGTAAAACTAAAAACTGTGAAGGGCTCCAGCTCTCCAGGACTGGAGATCGAGACTGCTGCAGAGATTCACTGCAAATTGATGAAATGTTGATATTACAATTCAATTTACAAGATGCAAAAAAACCCCCAAAAAATTAATTAAAAATCCGCAATGGTGGGGAACGAGGATTACACTATGTGGAAAGAAATATTGAAGTTCCTGCCTGGTCCTTACTTATTTGATTACACACTAATGGTCTGGGCCTGTTTTCATTGCATTGTCCCTGGTTTAAGGTTGAAAAGCCTGCTATATGAGTTTTGATATATCACAGCAGAGAGATACCAGATTCTAGTTTTTACTTACTCTGACTTGATATAATGTGTTTCACGAAATGCTTTGCTTAAAACCAAGTCAGCCTGGCATTCCGGGACACAGTCGCACCTGATTCGGAGGAAACCTGCCTGAGGTGTGTCTGCAGCAAGCAGGCTGCAGCAAACATGCTGTAACTTGCATCGCAGGCGCTCTCAGGTATGATGGAAACGCGACTCCAAGGTTGTGATATTACCTGGCAACGGCAAAGAGGAATTCTGCAGGACGGCGGCCATCAGCTGAAATCAGCTCTCAAAGGCTGGGTACAAAAGACAACTAACAACGCCGTCAGTCACGGATTGCGGCTGCTACTCTGACGGTGGTTTTACTCTGTATATCAGCACAAAGAGTGTCATATTGATGCATCTCTGCTCATCTTTCCATCACTGTTATTTTTTGTAAATATATGGTTTTGTAAAATATAACAAAGATGTTTTCTCAGATGTGTCTCCGCGTGGATCTTCTCTGACTCATAATGTATTCCATCACATCTTTCAATCTGCCATGAAAGACAAAAAGTGGAAGTGGGATTCCAGGGTAAGGGATTGATTTGGACGGGTCGCACACTCTGCCATGTTTCTATGTCCTGCCTGCCCCCGTAACTGGTGTGTTGACAGCTGTCACACTTTGGACAAACATTGTGGTGTAGCCGAGAGGTCACATGACCCAAATACGTTCAATAAATATTCACCAGCAGAAAGGTGTCATTATAAAGCAGTGTGTCCCGATCCGGTCATTAGGGACCCACAGACTTTCCACGTTTTTGCTCCCTCCCAGTTCATTACCAAATGTGGACTATCTGGCAAGGAGCTTGCAGGGAGCAAAAACATGGACTGACTGTGGGTCCCCAGGGACCGGATTGGGAAACACTGCTGTAAAGCAAGAAGGTCACTGGGGATAATAGTGGACTCCAAGCAAATATGAAATTATGATGAAAATGGGTTGCTGTGGAAACCGTGTTACCATTGGACAAGTACTTGCACTGTAAACCAAGCAGATGTTGGGTTGCCATAGCAATTACTACAATCAATTATATAGGAAAGCTGGATACATTAAGCTGACACACAGATGAAATTTGTGTTATCCGCCATGTCACCAGTCCTGTCAATGGAACAGTCAGCGTATCCAAGGCTAGTGACATTTTAGTGAGAGTTAAAACAAAATAAATTAAGGAACACATGGATACATGCAACAGCCCACAAAACAGGATCAATTCAGCTTTTAAAATGATCTACCCCATGTATACATGCACCACACCTGAAAGATAAGACAAATCACACTCATTTTTTAAACTTTTTAATATTTGTTTCTTTTTGAGTGATACATCTACATAAATCAAGATTTATAGAGGCCTTGCAATAGAATTACTGGACAAAAAGTTTAATACTTATTCTTGATTTTCTTTTCTTTTTTTTAAACAGCTAGAAGATTTAAGAAAATCTTAATAAACAATTTCTGTACATTCTGCAAGATATGTTTGGATGCTTAAACAGAAGTCAGAAAGGTGGACTGGCGCATACAGCCTTGCGTCTCATGTGAAGATTTCCTTAAATTAAACTGCGAGAGATCCCCCCCCCCCCCCCCCCCCCACCCCAAGTCTGCGGGGCCTCAGTAAATAGGAAGAGCACACCCTGCAAAGACAAACATCCAGGATAATAATAATTAAAAAAATACACACGTTATTTATATGAATGATGCGGCCTGCCACATGAATCCCAGTCATGTGATTTGTAGAGGTGTGTGTATCTGTGTGTGTGTGTTGTGATGCCATCACTCTGAAGCCTCACCAGCTACATCACAGTGTGTGCTCCTTAAACCACGACAGGACTGACAGACAAACTGCTTCTATTAGCGTGCTCGATGAAATGTTTTGGTACCCTGTGCACACGGACACCTCCTGCTTTTATTTCTCTCCTTTTTGCACCAGGATTAACTACTAATGAACTGTTACTACAAACCAGAACCGTGCCGCAGTGACTGAGACAGACTGCAGTCGGAGCACACTCACTAATCAGCATGACCCTACTTCCACCAGAACGCGCACTACACAGTCCAGCCACGTGCTGCTCATCACAGACTCAGAAGAACAGGCTTCTCACAGCTATACTTTCTAGGAGAGTCACAGTTAGGGCGCCCCCTAGAGTACACGCTTCTGAAGGCTACACCAAAGTACTGAACAGGTAGGAAGGCATTCCAGAATTATGGTAAAGAGAATAGCTGGGGAAGGTGAAAGGAGAGGGCGAGGCACAGGCACACAAACCGTAATGAGCACGGACTTGTGGGAACAAGGCGTATGAAAACTTACGAGTAAGAGCAAGCATGCCTGTGGAAGAGAGGTCTGCCTGGTTTCCACACACACATAACACACTTTTCCCTGACAGAGCATACAAGAGAGGCTGGAAAACAAAGAACAAAGACAGAACACACACACGCACGCACGCACGCACGCACACACACACACACACACACACACATACACACATAAAGAAAGATGAAGAGGGATATTTGCAAGTTAGAAAACCTCACAGATCAAGACCAGAGGAATCATGTGGCAGATCGGTTTGCCGTAAGAGAAAACACGTTTTTAACTTTTGCATTTAACATCGAAAGAAAAACAAACTGCAAATACAGCAACGTATAATCAGACAACAGGACGCCCCCAAACTGAAACCCTGCCGTGAACGGGCTGGTAGCACTGGGGGGGTGCTTAAATATACAGGCAGACTTTACATTATATATAGCATATTTACTCATATATATATATATATATATATATATATATATATATATATATATATATATATATATATATATATATGGCAAACCATCCAGCTGAACTGTGTGAAGATACATTCAGATAATGCCTCACATGTGGGAAGGCTGGCAGGCGCGGTAGAAAAAGGAACGGCAATAACAGAGGTGGTGAAAATGAGGAATTGCACCGAAAGGAAAAACGATGGTAATAATAAAAATCCGCCGCTGCACGCGCCCATCTGGCCGTGCTCCGACAAGGCTGAGTGCGATTCGCTGTTCACATGCCGTGACACCCCACTGTAAGCCGGGCGGGACCTACACCTGTTTGGGGGCAGGTGTATGTGCCAAAGTGTGCACCCATCTGCCCCTAAATATTAGCCGTCTAAACCGAGCCGACGCCCCCTACTGGCTCAGTCGGGTACCAGGTCAGGGGCTCCTGACCCGAAGATGGGCCCTGCTTGCTTCCGGCCCCTGCTACAAGACCACGGCTCACCCTGAAACCGCGTCACCGTGGCTCTGCCGTGTTTTGGCAAGGAGACTTGCTGGGACCAGAAAGCACTTAGCACGGCCGGATGCTCTCTCTGCCCTTGTTCACAGGCACCGACACACCGATCTCAGCTTACGGCACACCTATGCCATCCCCTCCATGATGCACACACTGACGGTGAACTGGTTCAGATCCGAGAGCGTGCGACCCTCGAGGGAGAGTGAGCGCAGAAACACCAGCTAACGGATATTCTGTAATGATGTCACTGGTACGGAATTCTGGGTAACCTTTCATGCTTCCTCAGACAAAACACATGATCACATTAAAGGGAACTTCATAAATACATACATGCAGCCACAGTAAACAAGCGCACGTTGGAGGCTGTTAATCACACTTATTCTCCTGTCCTGAATGGACCCCCTATGGCTGCTTCCTGGGCAGACGCACACCGGATCATTTTATAACGTTCCCTCACGACGCACATGAAAGACACTAGAAGAAAGATCGAGCGGCCATTAAGTGCCGATCGATAAAAAGGTGTCACTGGACATAATGTCAGAGATCAACTCAAACTTAGAAAACAGGGTTATTGATGTTCACTGCAGTAATGATAGCCCAACCCATTTCTGCATATATATATATATATATATATATATATATATATATATATATATATA